AAATTTTTTTTTTTTTTTAAAAAAAAAAAAAAAAAAAAAAAAAAAAAAAAAAAAAAAAAAAAAAAAAAAAAACAGGTTTTTTTTTTTTTTTTTTTTTTTTTTTTTTTTTTTTTTTTTTTACTTTTTACTTTTTCAAATAAAAATAACAATTCTTTCTTTCCCTCTTTAAAGAGAACCGTGCACAATTTGTTCCTTGAATAGTCAATTAATTCTCCATTCCTCCTTAAGCTTCGTTTTCATGGGAAAAAATTGAAACTTAGACCCTATTTGGTACTAATTTAAATCAGATTTTAATTTAAATTAAAGTCAAACAATCAATTCTCTTCACTAGTTTTAATTATTTTCAAGAATAACTCACTGGCGGAAAATCTATCATAGGCATCCACTTCGACTTTCTTCTCCTTTCCTATTGAAATTCGGAAAACAGTGCTACATTAATTGTAAAAAGGACTCAAACTCTGTGTATATATAAACCATTGTTTTGATTATATTCGCTTTAATCTCTCTCTTCCCCCTTTTTCCTCCTCCTTTAAACATGTCGCCTGTTATTGTGTTACTTGTGGTGGATAGTTTATTATTTCTTATGGTGTTTATTGTGTCAGCATGTTGGGGAAAATTCAGAGATGATGCCCGCGCACCACCAGCGCCGCCAGTCATAGACCTTCCTCCACCAGCACTCCGCGTGATACCAATCATATACCATCCAACATCGGCGGCTGCACCAGTCATAAACCGCCTACCACCGGCAACAGTGCCACCAGGTGCACAGACTTCAACGCGATCCCAGACGGAGGAGGAAGGGAAGAAGTATGAAATAGTAATCGATGTTTATGTCGAACAAGCTGCAGATGGGGAACGTGAATGCTCTATCTGTTTATCGGAATACGAAAACCGAGAACTGTTGGGGCATCTTCCGGTGTGCAACCATATATTTCATTTCGACTGTATCAAAATATGGTTGGAAATTAATCGGACTTGTCCATTATGCCGCCGGAGTAACGGTGATGAACATGAACTATAGTTTTTTTTTTTTCCTTCTGATTTTGGTCTCGAAAAGGAAGGAGTTAATGTAAGTCCAAATTTTCTTTTCCTTCCTTTTTTTTTTTTTTTTCTTTTTTTTCTTAAAAAAAAAAAAAAAAAAAAAAAACAAGCTTACTTCAATTTGCAAATGTTGATGATCCCAAGACAAAAAGTGAGGTGTGGTGTTTGACAACTTATGAAATTGACAATTTTGAATTCTTACTTGGGATGATTATCTAGTATGAAGTGTTGAATAATATTAATAGAGTAAGCAAGCATTTGTAAGCAGAAGACATGCATATTGATGCTGCTATAGACCATTTAAAAGGGCTAATTTCATTTTTCAAAAGTTATAGAAAATCTGGATTTCAATTGGTCATGGTTGATGCTAAAGAGACTACAAGTAAATTAGAAATTGAATCGATATTTCGTAAAAATTTGGTTATACATAGAAAGAAGCAGTTTGATGAGACTTCTTTTTTGAGTAGATAATATAAACAATTGAATAATCTTTTAAGATCAATTCTTTCATATATATATATATATATGGTGGACCAATCTCTATCATCACTTAAGAATTGATTTTAATAATTTCAGAAATATGATGATATTTTTAGATTTTTATTTGATTTGAAAAGATTTAAATTTATTGATGATGATAGTTTGAATTGTTCTTGCATTAATCTTGGAAAATTACTTGGAGCATAATATGATTTCTAACATTGATGGGGTAGAATTATTTCCTGAATTGAATGTTTTAAGGGAAGCAATATCTGCAAAATTTTTGGAGCAATTGATTACATTAAGAGATTGAACTGTTGTTTTGTAAATGCTTGGATTGCTTATAGAGTATATTATTGACTATTCTTATCATAGTTGCCTCTATTGAAAAGAAACTTTTTAAAGTTGAAATTGATTAAATCTTATCTTCGATCAACCATGTCACAAAAGCGAAAGAGCGATTGAATGGATTGGCTATGATTTCTATTGAAAAAAATAAGTTGGAAAAGCTTGATCTTAATAGTTTGATTACTAATTTTACATTTCAAAATGTGAGAATGTTAAATCTTATGTTAGCCTAATCTCTCGGATTGTGAGAGAAGTTTTATTTTGCTATTCTATCTTTTGAATTGTATAAAATTTTCTTATCAATATAAAAGTGTTAATTTTCTAAATATTTAAACATTTTTACAATTGTAGAATAAAATATTATTTTGAAGTGCCTTGTATTAATTAATCACCTAGTGTCTCTAAATTCTCGGGCCTATAATCCATCCAGAGCAAGAAGTTATTAACTAATCTCCAAGCAAGTTCGATGAACTTCCAGGCAACAATTTTCTCTTTGATCAACTTGTGGAATGTATCAATTTAGAAAATGACAACATATACAATTCTATTATTTGGTTTAGATTCTTGGAATCTTTATAAATATTACCAAATTATCACTAGTAATACTTTACAGAACACTTCTGGCTGATGATAACGACGGCAAGGTGTACCAAAAAATAAGCACAAACTCATGAAATTAAGAATTAATTTGACAGTAACACAGTATCATAGTAGAAGTTAAAAAAAGAAGGGGAAAAAAATAGATAAATAACCTATCACGATTCCGTTATTTAGCCGGCAACATTTTCTTAATCTATGTTCAGCTTTTTCTAGTTGGATTTTGTAGTATGCTAGTGTGAACTGAACTCGATTGCGTTTGGTGGTGATGAGATATTTAAATATCGAATTAATAATTGTTGAGGGCACCACGTCTTGTATGGTTTGAGTGGGATCCACACGTATTGAGTACGAAATAAAAAAAGAAAGCAAGGGAAGAAGAAGACACAAATGAGGTAGACAAGTTACCAACAATTAAGAAGGTTCAAAAGAGAATGATATGAAAATGCACCAAAAGTTCTCAACTATGCATAAGTGACAATTGAGTCTTCGATAAATTTAACTTTTGTGTTTGAGTGTTCTATCTTTTATTCTTGTATTATTTAACTTTTCAACTAGAGATGACAGTGGAGTCAGGTCCAACATGGTCACATATCCTCCTCCTCTCGCTTAGGAGATTTTCAAGAGGTGAGGCATGGCAAAGATGTCTAGGGATGTAAACGAGTCAGGCCAAGCTGGCTCGCGAGCCTAAAATTTCGGCTCGGGCTCAGCTTGATTAAAATGGCCGAGCTTTTTTGTAGGCTCGAGCTTTGCTCGGCCAAAAAAAATAGGCTCGGGCTTTTTCTGAGCTCGTTTTCTCATCTCTTTTTTTTCCCTCTAAATTGCTGCATTAAAAGGCAGCAGTTCAAGGCAGTGAACTGCTGCCTTCAGCCTCAAAATTTTAATTTTTTTTTTAAAGCTCACGGGCTGCTCGGCCCGAGCCTAGGCTCGGGTCTACCTAGGCCCGAGCCGGCGAGCCCAATTGCTATCTCTAAGGATGTCACATTTTTCTATCTCGAATCATGAACATTGATCTAGCTTTGTCAAACCATGTCTTGATTGGATCCACTTTCATAGAGAAAATTTTCGAAGAAACTTATAGCAAATCCCCAATGCTTCATGATGTAGTCTCACAATTGGTAGAAATTAAAATTAAAATTTCAATTTAATTCAAAGTCAACAACTAATTCTAATCGCATATTTTATGGGATTCATAATTTTTCAATCATACATTTCATTAATTTTTATTAAAATCTACTAAAAATTTGATTATAATCCCCACCAAAGGGCTTGGCAACTTTTTTTGGAGGACAAATGAACATTTTCTTAATTTATCAGAACTGGTATTATTATTATTATTATTATTATTATTATTATTATTATTATTATTATTATTATTATTATTATTATTATTATAGCACTTTTAATTTCAAGATTCAGTTTGTGTAATTTTTTTTCGCTAAAGCCATCTAGGATTAGCATTTACATTGAACATTAAATTAAAGTAAGGCTGATGATTAAAAAAAGTAGATTTAATAACTTTATTTTTGACAAATAAGTAACTTAAAAATAAGTCAAGTATAATTAATATGTTTGCATACTAAACAGTTTAACAAATACCCAATAAATAGAGAGATGAACTTTGTTACATGTACATTAAATTTTACATAATAGATTATACAATGTCATATGTCACTTTATCAATTGTCAGTTTAAAACACCGTCAACTTTTTCATCCAATCTTTTCCCTCCACATCATTTTATGTCATCCATTTGTACAATTTTTATATACAAGTAACATAATCCAAGAGAGATTTATTTAACAATAATGCTACTTGCATAGGGTCGTTGATAGGGGCTTTTGACAATGCTATGTTGGTAACATCTATATGGGGTCTTCTTTCCGACCTGTCCAATGAAATGCTGTTTACGTGTCCCCTTGTTTTTTAACCCTACAATTGACCCTATCTATGTAGCGTGATTCTTTATTTTTAATTAAAATTGTGGATTTGTATATTATAATAGTCGTCCTAGCCATAGGCCCATAGGAATACATTTGATAGCTCAAACTATATTCATCGTGTAATGACTACAAGCACAAAAAGATATATATGATGTTACCAAATGTTCTGTCAGGAGATACACGATCTCGAACTAGAAATGCAAGAGAGAGAGCACGATCAAAACCTTCGAACTAACTGCAAAATAAAGGTAAAAGTGAGTCGTTCCCCTAACTCCTCTGATGCTTAAGGGTCGTAGACTTGAAGTATGACATCTTGATTCGGTGTCAATAATGACATTTAGTAGAGTTTCTCATAGATAGCACCAATGATGCTATCAAAAACTGTTAGGAAAATGTGTAATTGGCAATCTGTGACCAAAGGACCTATTTGTCAAAATTATAAAGTCAAGGACTAAATTGTCCAGGTCAAATAGTTCAGGGAGTAAAGTTGCAATTTAGTAAAGGTCATAGCATAGGTCTAGGGTAAAGTGGGATGCTTTGAAGATGCAAACGGCGGGTTGATGTCGCTGGAGTTTCGCCCTGACCTTGCTAGAGCCAAAATTGCAGAACTGACCTCGCTGGAGTTTCGCTGGTCTATCGCTTGAGCGAAGGTACGTCGCTCGAGTTTCGTTAGGACCTCGCTCGAGCGACCATGTTATCTGGCCTTTGGTAATTTTAATGCCTCGCGAATTTTTAACGCCCTATATTACCAAATTCGACCTACTATATAAACAAAACGTCCGATTTTCTAATCAGAGCTTGGCAAACATTAAAACAACAATTCCTCTCAACTTCCATAGGATCAAGAACCAACAATAAATTCATCTTTGATTCTCATGGTTCTTTGAATAAAAACATCAACCCTCACAAAACCAAAACACCCTTTCATATCTCCATATAAACTTCCAGAAGATCATCTGTTTCAAGATCCGGGAAGGAAATTGCTTGAAGAACTGGAGAGCTTGGTGATTCACAGGAAATAGAAGATATTCAAAGCTGAGATTTTGGCGCAAATCTGCAAAATCCAGGATAGCTGTGGTCGATACAGTAAGGAGGTCAGAATATTGTTAGAATCAATAATGTCTGACGTACTATAAGTAAATATCTTCTATAGTGGATCTCTACTGGCTTGTGCCCGGAGTTTTTACCCAGTTGGATTTTCTCCGTCAACATTTTGCTGTGTTTTTACTGCTTTCTGCTATTTACTTTTCAACTGGTAATTCAATTTAGGTAGATAAAGTATGCGAATGAATCTAGGCAATGTATAATTGATGTGACTTGTTGCATCAGTTAATTAATTATTTTAATTCCGCATAAACACCTATTTACCCCCCTCTAGGTGTTGGTTGGGTCGAACTATTGCTTTTTCAAGTGGTATCAGAGCCAAATCTCGAGTCCTGACCCATAGTTGTCTAGATGAGTCAATCACTTTCTGTACCTCCGTACTTTGACGGAAGTAATTATGCCTATTGGAAGGTTAGAATGCGTGCATTTCTTAAGTCTTTAGATGAGCATGTTTGGGTAAGTGTGCAAAATGGTTGGAAACCTCCCTCTACTATCGTATCAGGAACTGTTAACCTTACCGACATATCACTATGGACTAAGGATGAAATAGCTGAGTGTAATTGGAATAGCAAGGGTCTTCATGCCCTACTTATGGCCGTGTCTCCCGAAGAGTTTAGGAGAGTGTCAATGTGTGAAACTGCTAAAGAGGTTTGGGACATTCTTGAAACTACCCATGAGGGAACTAAAACGGTAAAGAACTCTAAGTTACAAATGCTAACTTCTAGGTTTGAAGAAGTGAGAATGAAGGACGATGAAACGTTTGACGAATTCTATGCTAAACTGAATGACATTGTTAACTCTAGCTTCAATCTAGGTGAGAAAATTCCCGAGTCTAAAATTGTGAGAAAAGTGCTTAGGTCCCTGCACGAGAGATTTAGGCCTAAAGTCACTGCCATTGAGGAAAGTAAGGACCTAGATGAAGTTAAAATTGAAGAACTGGTAGGATCGTTGCAAACTTATGAACTCACTATTACACAACCTAAGAAAGGAAAGTCCATAGCCCTAAAATCCATCAAAGAAGATGAATCTTCTGATACTGAGTCACTTAGGGACGAGGAAATCGCGTACTTTGTTAAGAAATTTCAAAAAGTTCTCAAGAATAGGAGAAAGCCTCAGGATAAAAAGAGTGGAGCTCCTAACAGATTCACAAAAGTAAAAACTAAAACGTTTAACAATAAAGGGTCGAGTGATAAACCACGTTTGGTTAGGTGTCATGAGTGTCAACGTATAGGTCACTATAGGAATGAATACCCTAGTTATAAGAAGAACCAAAGAAAAGGGAAATGTAGGGCCTTAGTTGTCTCACTTACAAATAATGAATCTGAGACCAGTGATAGACAGGAATCTTCTAGTAGTGAGGACGAAGGAAACTATATGGCATTTGTATCAACTGTTAAGAGTGAATCTGATAAGGAGAGTGACAAGGTTGAGGTAGAACTTCCAAACGATAATTCTAGTAATGAGGAAGAGGATGACATAGACATACAAGAAGTTTATCAACTTTTATTTAAGGAGAGTCTTAAAATCAAAAAGGTCAATAAAGCCCTACTCAAAAAGGTTGATGAACTTGAGAGAGAAAAAGAGAAACTTGCTAGTAATCTTCAGAATTCACTTAAGAGTGGCAGTGAGTTAAAGTGTGTCAATGAGAAGTTAGAAGACAAGATTAAGACTTTGACTAGTGAATTGGTGAAATCTAATGCTCATCTTCAGACTTTCGTAAGTGGGACTAAGAAATTGGACAATATTTTGGAAATGAATAATCCTGCAGGAGATAGGAAGGGTCTAGGATATGTTGAGGGAAATACACATGTTGCTGGACCTTCAAAGACTGTTTTTGTTTCTGCCTCTAAGAAAGTTAATGCTGTTAATAGTTCAAATAAGGGTAAGAATGTTCCGAGAGAACAGAGTCATCAATCACGTAGGAACTTCATACCCAGATACCCTCAGCCACGTACCTTTGAGCCTAGGTTCATTCCCACCTGTCACCACTGTGGAGCCTTAGGACACACTAGGCCTAGATGCTACAGGTTAGGGAATGAGCGTAAAAATCTGAACATTCCTAGTCAGGTTAGCTTTCTGTCTAATCAGGTTAGTCATTTGACTGAGATGCTTACTAAGATTACTAGGAGTACTTTATCATCTAAGAAAGTTTGGGTCAAAAAGGGTGATCTAGCTAGACATTCAGGTCAAGAAAAGTGTTTTGTTGCTCATGTTGCATTGAAAGCCCAAAACTACGACATGTGGTACCTAGATAGTGCATGTTCTAGACGTATGTGTGGTAATAAGGCTTTATTCACTACTCTTGATGAATGTAACGGTGGTATGGTTACCTTTGGAGATGGGGGTTCTGCACCTATTCTTGGCAAAGGTACTGTACAAATACATGGTTTACCTGTGATCTCTAATGTGCTTTATGTGGAAGGTTTAAAGTCTAACTTGTTAAGTATTAGTCAAATTTGTGATGCTGATTTTGAGGTGAGTTTTGTGCAAAAGCGATGTACTGTGTATGATTCATCTGGTGGGGTGATCCTTGAAGGAGTTAGAACAACAGATAGTTGTTATGGAGTCTTGCCTAATTCTAACTATGTGTGTAGGAGTGCTAAAATTGATGTGAGTGAACTCTAGCACAAAAGATTAGGTCATTTGAACTATAAGAGTCTAGTACAACTAGCTATGAAATAATTGGTAGATGGTTTGCCTAAGATAGGTCCTAGTGAAAATGTTGTGTGTGGACCATGTCAACTGGATAAACAACTTAAGGGGAGTCATAAGAAGACTTCAAAAATTCTGACCAAAAGACCCCTAGAATTGATACACATGGATTTAATGGGACCATCTAGGACTGAGAGTTTAGGTAGTAAGCGATACATTCTTGTTGTGGTAGATGATTTCTCGAGATTCACATGGATAGAATTGCTTAGGGAAAAATCTGATGCATGTGATCTCATAAAATCTTTGTGTAAACGGCTTAGCAATCAACTAAATCTCAAAGTGTCTAGAATGCGTAGTGACCATGGAAGAGAGTTTGAGAATTTTAATCTTGAAAGTTTCTGTATGGATGAAGGGATATTGTATGAGTTCTCTTCGCCTATCACTCCTCAACAAAATGGGGTGGTTGAAAGGAAGAATCGAGTTCTTCAGGACATGGCTAGAGCCATGCTTCATGGCAAGGGACTAGCCCTACATTTTTGGGGAGAAGCTGTTAACACTGCATGCCACATAATTAATAGAGTTTACCTTAAACCCAAGACCGATCAGACTCCATATGAGATACTTAAGGGTAAAAAGCCTACTGTTAAGTACTTTCGAGTGTTTGGGAGTAAGTGCTACATTTTGTGTGATAGAGAGAACTTGAGTAAGTTTGAATCGAAGAGTGATGAAGGAATCTTCTTAGGGTACTCTAGAAATAGCCGAGCATTTAGGGTGTATAACTTACGTACTCATGTGGTGATGGAGTCAGTAAATGTTGTAATAGATGATGCTGTGAGTGAGGGGGAGAGTGTTGAAAATTGTGATAAAGATGGTGATCTTATAAGCTCTAGTGATCCTACTGAGCCACCTGTGTCTGAATCATCTCTTGGGAAACTTGAAACACCTGAAAATAAAACATTTCCACAAGATCGAGATAAAGATCCTAAGGAACCATCGACTAGGGTTAAGTCTAATCATCCTAAGGACAATATCATTGGGGATCTAGATGAGGGTATGAGGCTTCGTAGGAGAGTACTGAACAATATAGCATACACTAGCTATGTCTCTCAGGTAGAACCTAAGAAAGTTGAAGAGGCGCTTAGTGATGAGTGTTGGGTGAATGCGATGCATGAGGAGCTCAATCAATTTGCAAGGAACAATGTGTGGATCTTAGTTCCCAGACCTGAGAATTGTAATGTTATAGGTACTAAGTGGATCTTTAAGAACAAGACAGATGACCAAGGTACTATAACTAGGAATAAGGCTAGACTAGTTGCTCAGGGTTATACTCAAGTTGAAGGAATTGATTTTGATGAGACTTTGCCCCTGTTGCACGACTTGAGTCTATTCGAATTCTGCTTGCTGTTGCATGTACCCTAGGGTTCAAGTTGCATCAAATGAATGTTAAGAGTGCTTTCTTGAATGGACTTCTTCAAGAAGAAGTCTATGTGGAACAACCAAAAGGATTTGTTAATCCTAAGTTTCCCCACTATGTCTACAAACTTCACAAAGCCCTCTATGGTCTGAAGCAAGCTCCTAGAGCTTGGTATGAGAGATTTACATCATACCTTGAAGAGCATGGATTCTCTCGAGATGGTGCAGATAGGACCTTATTTATTAGACATGTTGAATAAACTATCACCATTGCTCAGATTTATGTCGATGATATTATTTTTGGTTCTCCTCTTGAGTCTTTAGCTTATGAGTTTGCTGAGTGTTTGAAGCAAGAATTTGAAATGAGTATGGTTGAGGAGTTGAGTTATTTCCTTGGACTTCAGGTGAGACAGAGAGAGGATAGACTGTTCATTTCACAGTCTAAGTATGCTAAGGATCTAGTTAAGCGCTTTGGGCTAGATAGTAAAAAGCATACTAGGACACCTATGAGTACTAGTTTGAAGTGAAGTCGTGATACTTCAGGTAAGAGTGTCGATCCTTCCCTATATAGAAACATGATAGGTAGTCTTCTTTATCTCACAGCTACTAGACCTGACATTGGTTTTAGTGTTGGAGTGTGTGCTCGATATCATGCAGATCCAAAAGAATCACACTTAAGCTCTGTTAGACGCATCATTAGATATGTGAGTGGAACAGTTGATCTAGGAATATTCTATTCTAGGAATTCTAATATTGACTTGGCTGGTTACTCCGACGCCGATTGGGCTGGAAACACGGATGATAGGAAAAGCACGACAGGGGGTTGTTTTTACATGGGTAGCAATTTCGTAGCCTGGTTGAGTAAGAAACAGAGTTCTATATCTCTATCCACGGCAGAGGCCGAATACATAGCTGCAGGTAGTTGCTGTACTCAGCTTCTCTGGATGAAGCAGATGCTGAGTGATTATGGGATTAATCAAGGTACCATGACTGTTTTTTGTGATAATACAAGTGCTATAAATATTTCTAAGAATCCCATTCAACACTCTCAAACAAAACATATTGACATCCAACATCATTTTATTCGTGAGCTTGTTGAATCACATGTAGTCTCTCTCGACCATGTCTCTACTGATAATCAATTGGCAGATCTACTTACGAAACCACTAGATGGATTGAGGTTTGAGTCGCTTCGGACGGCTGTTGGTGTTTGCTCACCTATCTGATCTTGGATTCATGCATATTCATGCATTCATCACATATGTACCTAGTCACTTCATATCTTGCATGTGATCTGTGTGTGTGTGTGACGCATTTTTTATTGTTAGTTTGACATTTAATCTTCTTTTGTGTGTTATATTTGTGTGTTTAAATATGAAAAAAAAATCATCATAATAAACCATAAAAATAAAATGGGATTTTGTGTGTGTGTGCCTTTTATGTGACGATAATGGCTTTTGCATTAAAGATCAAACTCTATTTTTCATCATATGTACAAGTCTGAGATTCCATTATCGTTCTCTTTGCTTGTGGAGTTCTGGGTATATGGCTCGTCATTCATTTTTGCACAGTACACACTGTAGTCCTGTGAGTGAGTCTTGACCGCATGAGTGAAAATTGGGATGGTGTTCTTCTGTGATTGGGGTTATGTGTCCATTTGACTTGATCTGGGACTAGTGTCACCTAATCATGTTGTCTTTCCCCATTTTTTTCTTTTGTTGAACTTATGACTGTCTTCGAGGCCTATTTGACTCGAACAATTAAGCCTGAGGGGTTTCTAACCTGGTGCCCTATGGTCGTCTGACTTGGGAGCCACCGGCCCAAAGTTCGTTACCGGGGTCATTTATGTCGCCTAATGGGGATAGCATTGCACTTAAGTTCTTTTGTATAAAAAAAAAAAATTTGGAATCATACAGTTAGGGGGAGTAAATTGTGACAATCGTAATATTTGATATAGGTCCTCGTAGAATTGGATTTGACTATCACTTGGTAGACATACACCTCTGTCTGGTTGTTTTCACGTGTCCTTTCTCACTGATTTAAGGTTTTTGCATCTCACTTGCATGGACTACGTGGCACTTTTCACAATGATATTCTATATATACTTTACTCCACGGGATTTTGAACTATGTGTGAACTTACGATTTGTCTATGTGTTGAGTGTCGAGATTGTGATTTTCTGCTTTTTGTTGGTATAGTTTACATAATTGGTCCCATGCTTCGTGTTTCCGATGCTCTGCCCTTGTTTTTTTTGAAAATACACGATTTGGGGCTAATTTCGTCATTTCTTGATAATTGTGTTCTTTTTCTTCATATTCAAAATTTTAGTGCTATTTCTGACATTTGAACTTCACTCGAGTATCGCCCACACTTCGCTCGAGCGACAAATGCAAAATGCTTTTCGCTCGAGTTTCGCCCACGTCTCGCTCGAGCGACAGTGTATTTTTAAAAGTCACCGGTTTCATTTTTCGTGTACTTCTTCTCCATTTTCTCACAAATTGCTCCGACTCCTTCACAATTCATACTTCACCCTTGTTTCTTACACTATTTCGAAGCCCCTTACATATATTGGCTTCCGGATTTCAAAATTTGACATCGGTTTGAGGTATTGTTTTTTCCTTTTTTGTTTCTTCTTTTTTTTCTTCTTTCCTATCTTTTTTTTGTATTTTGATTGTTTCTTCTTTCCTTGTTATGATCTTCATGCATTTCTTGTTTTTTATTCTTGTTATTCTTCGCATTTTGCATCACAAATTCCATTATATTGTGTGTTCATCCATGGTTTATTAATGGAATTTTCGTGTTTTTCGTTCATATTCGTGTTGTTCGTTCTTGCATTCCGTTAATCCGTTTGATGTGTGGTTTGTTTCATTTTAAAGCCCTTGGATTCTAGTTTGTGGGACTATGCTTGGATGCATGCTTGGGTCTCGTATGTGCTTGGAATTTTGTGCCGAAGTGACGCCCGTCATGTGTTCGATGAAAGTCCCCTGTTTTGTTTTGTTTTTTTTTTTCTTTTTTCCTTAGTTTGTGTGTTTCTTTTTTCCTCCTCTTCATTCCGCCTTTGTTTCATTCTTGTCACGTGACTTGTTGAGTGTTTTTACACATATTTTTGGTGAATATTTCCATCATGCTTGGCTTGATCTTAAGGTCGTTCACGTTTTTCAATGCATCTCTTTCGTGCATCATTTGTGTGTGTGGTGTTTCATTTCATATTGCATCGTACCCCATGCATTCTTCATCTTACTAATTGAGTTCCATCTCTCCATGTGTCAGATGGCCCGTAAGCGTTCTCGACCATTTGCGCAGCCAGCTAGTGGTTCGACGTCGTATAGTCGTTCCAGATTCATTTCTGCTACAGCTCAGGAGGTCTTCACTTCTCAGTTCTCCTTACGCCCTGTTCTCATGGAGCGTGAGGTAATCCTCTCTGACCTTCATGTTGATATCGCCGCTATTTTTGTTTCCCGGGGTTGGGAGCCCCTTCTTGTCGGTCTTTCGCCTCCTCCTCCACTCCTCGTTCAGGAATTCTATGCTAACATTCATGATATCGACGACTCGTCTTTTTGGGTTACTCTTAGAGGTCATTCTTTTAGGGTTACTCCGTCAGTTGTAGCTCATGCTTTAGGTATACCTCATATTACCCATCCGACTTATCCCTATATTTTACCTGCTTCTATTCCGGCCAATTCTCTTGTTCGGTCGACGCTTTTGAACACCCCGTCTATCGGGGGGCCTTCGACGATGGCCACGGGGTCATTACCTACTGATCGTCAGGTATTGTTGCGCATAGTGTGTACAAACCTGTGGTCGGTTGCCCATACCTCTTCTTTACCTATGGTGCGAGCCTGTTTTCTTTATGCTCTTCTTCATGGGGACTCGATTGACTTTCCTAGTTTTGTGTGCTAGAATATTCTGGCTTCATTTCGTACTCCTGGGAGTCGGATCGGGTTTCCTTATGCTTGCTTGATTCATAAGGTTGCTTTGTCGCTGGGTCTTTCCTTTCCAGAGGATTCGACTTGTCGCATAGGCCGTCCAATAGGACAGCAGACCATTCATCAGAGTCGATCCCATGTACAGTCATCTTCCTCTTCTGCTCATGCTACGGGTCAGGCAGTGACCGTTGATGTTTTTGATCTTTCGGAGCCCTTTGATCCTATTACTGAGATTCTTACAGGGGGTTCCCGTGTGTTTCTCCCGCCTCGTACGGCTTTTCCTTCGACCACTCCACTTACTTCTACCTTTCCTTCGGCCTCTCCTTCTGCTTCTGCTCCTGGGGTGGCTGCTTTGGCCGTGGACCCCATGGTGACGCTTATGGGACAGATGTCTACTTTGGTCGAGCAGCAGGCTTGTATGATGGCAGAAATCACGCAGTTACGTGCTGCGTCGGAGCGTTAGTCAGCTGAGCTTTCTTCTTTTCGCCGTGCTCTTGCAGTGTGTCAGCGTCATTTGCGTTGGATTCGTGATAGTATGGAGGAGGACACGGATGCTGAGAGCGGAGCTGAGTCTTCAGATGCTGGTGGTGAAGCATCGTAGTTAGTTAGTTCATTGTTTTGACCTTTGTCCTTTGTGACAAAAAGGGGGAGTAGACATTTGGATAGATAGATTGATAGATCTTCAAATTTTTGGTAATTGTGTAGATCGATAGATCTTCAATTTTTTGGTAATTGTGTTATACTTCATGACTAGATTAAGTTTTTGTGATGTTTTGGCAATATTAATGTATGTTTTTGGTATTTTTGACTTACATTATTATTGCTTCTTAATCTGGTTAATGACATATGATCGATTTCTTGTTTACTGTTTCCATTTCATATGCTTTTACACTTGGTATTTAAGTTTGTGATTTTCAGGAAACAGGTTCAACAAGAGATTGTTACTTTAGCTGAATAGATAGGTTGTTTGGAGTCATGTTTATCTTTGTCTTTGACTGTCATATGTATTTTTGTCACAGAATGCCAAAGGTGGAGTTTGTTAGGAAAATGTGTAATTGGCAATCTGTGACCAAAGGACCTATTTGTCAAAATTATAAAGTTAAGGACTAAATTGTCCAGGTCAAATAGTTCAGGGACTAAAGTTGCAATTTAGTAAATGTCATAGCATAGGTCTAGGGTAAAGTGGGATGCTTTGAAGATGCAAACGACGGGTTGATGTCGATGGAGTTTCGCCCTGACCTTACTAGAGCCAAAATTGCAGAACTGATCTCGCTGGAGTTTCGCTGGTCTATCGCTTGAGCGAAGGTACGTCGCTCGAGTTTCGTTAGGACCTCGCTCGAGCGACCATGTTATCTGGCCTTTGGTAATTTTAATGCCTCGCGAATTTTTAACGCCCTATATTACCAAATTCGACCTACTATATAAACAAAACGTCCGATTTTCTAATCAGAGCTTGGCAAACATTAAAACAACAATTCCTCTCAACTTCCATAGGATCAAGAACCAACAATAAATTCATCTTTGATTCTCATGGTTCTTTGAATAAAAACATCAACCCTCACAAAACCAAAACACCCTTTCATATCTCCATATAAACTTCCAGAAGATCATCTGTTTCAAGATCCGGGAAGGAAATTGCTTGAAGAACTGGAGAGCTTGGTGATTCACAGGAAGTAGAAGATATTCAAAGTTGGGATTTTGGCGCAGATCTGCAAAATTCAGGATAGCTGTGGTCGATACAGTAAGGAGGTCAGAATATTGTTAGAATCAATAATGTCTGACGTACTGTAAGTCAATATCTTCTATAGTGGATCTCTACTGGCTTGTGCCCGGAGTTTTTACCCAGTTGGGTTTTCTCCGTCAACATTTTGCTGTGTTTTTACTGCTTTCTGCTATTTACTTTTCAACCGGTAATTTAACTTAGGTAGATAAAGTATGTGAATGAATCTAGGCAATGTATAATTGATGTGACTTGTTGCATCAGTTAATTAATTATTTTAATTCCGCATAAACACCTATTCACCCCCCCTCTAGGTGTTGGTTGGGTCGAACTATTGCTTTTTCAAAAACCATAACTGAATGTACTCAATTTCAAACTAAGAATTCATAGGAGATGAGCACGATCAAACCTCTGAACTACTTGCAAAAAGGCTGAGGATTAGGGCACCTGCATAGCACTAGAATAACTAAATAGGTTGAAATTTTAATGATATCAGAACTTCAATTGTTGTTGGGACGTAAGAATTATAATGGAGTGGAACTCTTTGTGCAAGTACCTTGAGCTCTGGTGTGGTGACTAG